ACACCTTCCCCATTTAATTGGTTCTCAATCTAGCACCACAGACCAGCCCCAACTCGGACTGACCTGCTCAGGGTGGTAACCGGAAAGTTAAACAACTTTGGTTTTCTCAAAGACTGACAAATCATTCTGTGGCCAAACAAGCTACTTAAGAGTTGATCTCACAAAGTTCCCTACATAAATGAACTGGCTCTGAAAGAAACTGGCTTAATTGATAAGCAGTCCCCAGAAGATCCAGAAAACACTTTAGAGTTTCTTACCAATCTATATCATAAACAAACTCTCGAAACACCACAAATGAGGCAAAGCTTTTAAAGAAACCATTCGGGTAACACTGGGTGATATACATTTTTTCACTGTGTTATTTTTTTAACCCTTAAAATTATTTAACAATTTTGAGATCCTTTGATAATATTATAATTGCTTGTTTCTTTATTACCCAAAGGAATTATTTCATAATAAAACATATTTTCACAGCTTTCCAGTAACATCTACCACAATGCTATTTACTTCATCGCATATTTACACATAATTCCCATTGTCTCCTTTCTGCCTTAAATATTTGCAAGCATTAATATAAAAGTCAACTTTATTGTGGTATAATGTACATACAAAAAAGTACTCCTGCTTTTTTATTTTAAAGATTTTATTTTTAAACAACCTCTGCATTGCACATGGGGTTGAAACCCACAACCCCAAGATCAAGAGTCACAGACTCTTCCCACTGAGCCAGCTGGGCGCCCCCATGCTCATTTTAATAGTAAATTTCCATCATGAGTTTTGAAAAATTGATACACCTGCGTAACTACCCTCATTGGGTTCTTTAAAAGGAGACAGTCATCTTACCTGCTCTAGCCATTTCACGTGCACACAAACAATGGACCCTAGCCCTTGAAATGCAAGAAATTCCCTGCCCAGCTGCCCAGCTCCACTGGCAGATGGCAACACCATACCTCCTTAAGCCCTTTCAGTGCCCAGGGGGTGTTATTAAGATAAGTTATATTCCAGATTCCATATTCCATTTCAACAACTACAATCACATGTGAAAAAGTGTTCTTGCCAAACCTAATGTCCGCTCGCCTGGAGGAACACAACGTTAAATAAAAGGCCTTTAAATGTTAAAGTACCTTTTAGGTATTTTTACACGGTCCTTCTCTTTCAACCACCCTGTGACTTCTCCTCCCTAAACAGTTCTGGGGGGGGGGAGCGCGCAGGTGGTCACAAGGGTTGCAGAACCCTCTCCCACCCTGCTCACTGTACCCAGAGGCTCTCCAATGGACCTCTGAAGCAGCCACTGTGTGTGTGTGTGTGTGTGTGTGTGTGTGTGTGTGTGTGTGTGTGTGTGTGTGTGTGTGTGTGTTGACCTGGGCCGAGTACTGTGGTGAGTACCTCCTAGATCTCTACTCAAATAAATATTTGCCAAGTGCTCAGCATGTGCCTGGCACTTAAATATGAGTAAGACTCTGTACCTGCCCTCAGTAAGGTCACATAATTCCATTAATGCAGCCTCATTAATGATTTCAACAGTTGTTTCAGGGTCAGATTCATATTGAACTTGGAATGAATTGAAGTTCATATACATTGCCGTCAAGGCAGAATAATTCCTTTCAACCTAAGTGCAGGTCTTTATTGAGGCCCTTGGTAGCTTTCATCACCTTGATTTTTGTCTTTTCCAGTAACCAACATAAGATACTAACTCTTGTTAAAACTGAGGCAATTAATACCTCATGAAAAAAATAAAGCTGTTCTCTTAGTTCTCTTCATTGAAATTGAAAGCAGTTTCTGAGGTGAAGAGTGAGTTAGTCTCTGTGGTTTTACCTCTGGTCGTAAATATATTATTTACACAAAAACCAAGCTGTGTTGGGTCATTTCTTAGTACCACAAAATGTGATGGCAAATGAGGGTATAACTTTTTTCCTTTTTTTCAAAAAGCAGGTGCCTGGCTTTTCCTGGCAAACTCCTACTTACCCTTCCAGACCAAATGCAGATGACACCACTTGGGTGAAGACTTCCAGATTCCTAGACAGAAGAAAGAACCACTTCTGTCTTCTCTCCTTTTCTGTCAGCTCATTCCTGCAGCATGTTACTGGGTCATTTACCCATTTTCATGTCTTTAGGGTGACCAACCATCCCCATTTATTGGGGACTGTCCTAGGTTTAGCACTAAAAATCTCAAGTCCTGGGAAACCCCTCAGTCCTAAGAAAATCAGAAAAATACATCCCTCTACATGATAGTGAGTAGCTATTTAATAAAATAGCCATCACTTATGAGGAGCCAAAACCAACTACTTCACAAACACTGCCTTATTTTTCGAATTTAAGACAACACTGAAAGCAGTTATGATTATCACATTTTACAGAACAAGAGAGGAAACTGAGAGGTAAGTAACTTGCCCAGGATCACAAGGGTACCTGGAATGGAATCCAGGCTTGCCTGTCCCATACCACCACACTGTATTACCGTTTGAGAGTCCAATGGCAGCTCCATACAGCAAGCTCTCAATAAATCTCATGGAATCGGTAATCACTTATCACCATGCTCCTATCACTCAGCATCAGCTAATGTGCCAGTGTTGGTCCTTGAGACAGCTACCAGGCATTTACAGGAGGGTCCATGTGATAGGAGGGGCATATATAAAAAGCATATTTATTTACATGCACTGCTTTTAACTTAGCTGGCTTTTATGTAAGTGCCACCTGCAGAACACGCGGAAGACGTGCATGCCAACATGCTCTGCATGCCTCATGTTCCCTCACAAAGATAACAGGGAAGCTTTCCTGACTTGACCATTTAACACACTTGGCTCTGTCCAGACGAGCCAATCCAGCTGCTAGGCCAGACCCAAGGGCTGTCTTCAGGTAGGACCTCCTGAACCAATGGCACAGAGAAGAGTACTGGGAAGACAGGCCACACTTCTCCATGATGAGGTGCTCCGTGGAGGTCAGCTTACCATTTGTTGATCCTTTAATTTGGGAAACATTACTGACTTCAGCACTCTCCTAGCTGGTATGGGTTACATTTTAGAATTTAAGTACTGTGTGCATTCACACATTGTGTGTGTGTGTGTGTGTGTGTGTGTGTGTGTGTGTGTGTGTGTGTGTGTGTGTGTGTGTGTGTGTGTGTGTGTGTGTGTGTGTGTGTGTGTGTGTGTATTTTTAACATTGTTGCGGTTGTAACTCTCCAGATCAGAAAAGCATCCTCCATTTTTGTCTTTTGACTCCAGGTGATAGGGGTTAGAAAGCAACCTCTCCACTCCCTCCCACAAGTTCAAAAAGCAGAACTATGGGGAGGGACCATTTCTCCCTGTTTTAAAACATAAGTTCTAAAGAAAGTTTTATTTATTTCTAATATAATTTATTGTCAAACTGGCTAGCATACAGTGGGTACAGTGCGCTCTAGAGTTTCAGAGAGAACGCAAGAGTTCCGAGAACGCGGGGCCACAGCGCCCCACCCCCTCCCCAACACGCCCACCTCGAGCTGCCATTGTATGGAGATACTTCAGGCCAGCTATCTCACTCCGGGCCTCCCGAAAGGCTCCGGAGCCAGTTGCCCCTCCTACCCCAGGGGGTGCCGTCTGGCTCCCCTGAGAGGGGGAGGGGGAAACTAGGAGCTATAGACCCAGCCCCGGCGCCACTTCCACGGTTAATCAGTTTACCTGGGATGTGTATTTGGCTGCACCCCCCTGGGGACCTTCCCTGGCCACCCAGGGTCAGAGGATAATTTAAAAAACTCTTCAAAGCCGGGACCCTTCTCGGAGCCAGCTTAAGACTGGAAACCTGGGAGGGACAGGCTTTACTCTTCAAAGTGAGAACAAATGCGAAAAGATTTAGCACTTAGTAGGTAGTCAGTAAACGTTAACTTTGTTTCTTGGGTCTGGACTTCACCTCCCCCCCCCCCCAGAAGCCATCTCCAACCAACCCCACCCTGTCCCTTCCTGAAATTCGACAAGACCAGAGGTGTTTTTTGTTTTGTTTTGTTTTTCCATTTTGAACTAGTGGTTGCCACTTCCTTTTCTCTCCCAGCGCAAAGAACCCGGACCCTTTCTCAGGCTTCATTTTGTTCAACTGTAAATCGGAGCGGGGTAGCACAGGCTTGCCGTCCTTGCCGGGTCTGACGTTCACAGGAAATATTCAGTCGTGCCGTTAGATTATTTCTAACCCCGGCCCTCCGAACAAGAGGACGCTCCACTTATGGAAGCTGCTGCAAAGTGTCCATTTAAGTCAGGTCTTTCAAAGAAGCCCCTCTGCGCTTCCCGAGTTCCTGGACGCTGACCAGGCATGCGCTTTCAGTGCACCCCTCACAAGTGCGGCGGCATACCAGCGCAGTGCACAATAAGCGCACAGAACGCCGTGGCCCCGAGGCACCCACAAGGTGCTAGCCTCCGTTCAACCCATCTCCGCTGCTCCAGTCCCTCCTTTGTTCCAGGTGTGAAATCCGAACAGGAAAATCATCTGCCACTCCGAAGGATCTTCCAACTGGGCCGCCAAATGGCCCAGAAGATCTTGGGCCCTAGCCAATGTAATCAGTTCCCTGCTGAGGACCCTAAGGGAGGGCCGAGAGGAAATGCGAACAGAAACCCCGCGACCGCTAGTGCTGTCCATCAAGGGCTGCCGGGGCTGCTCCTCCCAGCTCTTCGTGGAGCGTGTCGGCCGCCAGCGCTCACCTACGGCGCACAGACATACCCGACGTCGGGGCTGCTTGGGGACACACTCAGACCCTGCACCCTGCAGTCCTCTCTCGTTCAGAAAAGCATTTAGGAAGCAGGCCTGCCCTCACCTAACAGAATATGGGCTTCTTGGGGCTGTGACCTTCACCACCACCAACGTGCCGCGGCCGCCAGCTTGTTTTCCAGTTTGCTTTCCTTGGAAACTCACGCATCCTGCCCCCTCCCCACCGCTCCCCACCATACGCACACTTGCGGAAAATTAAACGCCCCCAAGCAGTGTTCGGGACAGCCTGTTCCGGAAGCCAACGGGCCCGGGTACTCGCGCTCAGTACTCACCGAGGTTCGGGTGTCGAGCGGCGGGGTTGGCCCTGCCGGGCAGGCTATGCAGCACCGGGCTGTCGAAGGGACCGGCGGAGGCGGCGGCGGCCGCGGCCCAGGACGCGCCCACGTCGGCCATGTAGGCTGGGTAGGGGCTGGAGTAGGAGCCTGCGAAGCCCGCACGCCCGTACTGCTCGCGGCCGGGGAGGCCGCCCGCCGCTCCGCCACCACTGCTGTAGGCCGCGGCTTCCCGGGCGGCGGCGGCGGCGGCGGCGGCAGCCAGGGACCCGGTGGTTCCCGGGAAGGAGAAGCGCGGGGACACAGGCGGGGGCGTGTAGGCCGCTCCCTCGGCCCCCGCCTGGCTCCAGCCCGGGCTGCTCTGCTGGGTTCCGGGCCCGGCGCCCGCCGGGGCCCCGCCGGAGCTGCCACCAGAGGTGGCTCCGGACGCGGCGCTCCCGCCTCCGCCCTGGAGATAGGACAGGCCCAGCACCGAGGAGGGCACCCGCGGCGTGGGCACGTAGACGGGAGAGGAGGCAGCGCCCGCGCTGTGCATGAAGGCGCCAGGGCCGCCCGCCTCGTAGGCCCCGGGAGGGGGGCCGTGGTTGGCGGCCATGGCCAAGCTCTGGTACATGGCCTCTGGGAGCTCTCCGCCTCCGAGTCCTCTCTCTCACTCGCGAGTCAAGGCGCAAGGCGGGGAGAGAGTAATAACAATAATAATAATAACAACAACAACAACAATAATGTACAGGTGACGGCTGTCACGTAAATGAAGATCCAAAATCAAAAGTAAAAATGCAAATCCCTCAAAAATATATTCGTATTAAATCCAGCATCGAGCAAAAACACTCTAGGCTCTTGTTTACAGGAAAATCCCAAATTGAACTTTTGGTTCTTCCCGGAGGTGCTGGAGAAGGGGCGGGATCTACCCCAGGGCCTAGAGGTCCTGAGCGCCTACACGAGTGGCAGAAGACACGGGGTAGTGCCTGGGCGCCGGTATGGGGCACGGGCCTTCGGGTCACGCCGGTGGCCGTGGCTGCGCACCCTCTTCAGGACACCCGTAGACTCCGGCTCTGGGTGCGGTAGGCTGGCTCCGATGCGGAGGGTTGGGTTGGCTCCCGTCCTCCTCGCCGCAGCCGCGGTCCTAGAAGAACGACAAAAAGGGACACAAGTTCACCCGGAGCCCACTTTCCTTGTGCTCGGCTGCTTCTCCCGCACCGCAAACCAAAGAAATCGCCACTTTCGGCGCCCAGCCTTGGAGGCCACGAAGTTCCTAAGGAAGCTGCGCTCTTTGTTTTTCTCAGCCCGTGGGGTCTGACTGCCCCAGGGAAGCCTAGGGAGGGGAGCCTTAGAGAAGTGGGGCTTCACGGTTATTAGACATGTAATTATTGACTATGACCTAGTCAATTTTTTTTGGTATTGCTTGTCAGGAAAGACCCTTGTCACAGATAAGTTTAAGGGTTTCAGTTTTCGCCGGAATGCCTGGGACCCAAGAAATATCGTTCATCTTTGTTCCCCCACCCAACCCTAAGCGTCCCTGGCCATGAAAAAACTTTAGATTGCCCATGAAACACAATGACAAACTTTAAAAAAAACCAGCAACCTAAGAAAATTTTGTTTGTAATCTTTTTATTAAAACTAGGAGTAGAGTCTAAATGTTTACACATGAGCATAGTGACTGCTAAATCTCTGTGAAAAGGATTGTGAAATCTCTTATCCATCCACACACTATACCATATGGAAGTCAAATCAGACAAGACATTTGTTTCTGGCAAATAGTTATATTTTAGTGATTCTGCAGATTGGATATTAAAACCAGAATAGTGAGGGAAATGTACAAGTTCACTTTGTGGAACTACTCACTGGACCATTCAGATTCACTGAATGGGTTTTTTCCCATATAGAATCACTGGTCCACCCGTGGAGGGAAATCAGAACGCCAATGACAAACTGAAGGGGAAGAACAGTTCGTAGGGCTTGGTTATGCCCTTGTATCCTGTGTTTCTATTTTCTTAGGCAATTTTTCTGATAAAATAAGAGCTCAGTGTTCTGAAGCACCTGCTCTGTCTCAGGTCTTTTTTTTTCTCCACAGCTCCTCAAATAAAAGTGTGTCTCCTCATTTTACAAAAGAGGGAACTGAAGCATCGTAAAGTTTTGAAACTTGCCAAAGATCAAAGTACAATTAAAGGAGCTGGGGGACAGAATCCGTGGGTCTCCAGGGATTTGAGGCTGACCACTACATTCCCGCTTGTCTCCTTAAGAGACAGCCACTTTTTAACACTGGTTTCTTTTTCACTGCCACAGAATTACAAAAACATCAATTGACCTTTATTATACTAAACCCAGGCTGTCACTTACTGAACAAATGACTTTAGACACATTACTTAACTTCTGTGCCTCAGTTTCCTCATTTGCAAAAATGCAAATGTTAAAGGTACCTATCTTGTGGAGTCATGGTGAGGACTGTAAGGATTGTAAACTAATATATGTAAAACAAGTATAATAGGGTTTTATAAAACTCATAACAGGTACAAAGTTCTATATAATTGTTGGCTATTGTTATTATTATTACAGATTTCTAATGTACCATAAGACAATGCCTCAGATATAATCATACTATAATGAATGGTCATCTTAATTATTGTAAAAAATTCTGAAAATCTAATCTACACTACATCTAATATACCTATATAATGCTTTTAACCATCTTTGCAACATCACTAATGATAATGGAGTTAATAGAACTGTATTCTATAATCACATGTCAACTTCTAGATGGTTTATCATTTGCTTTCAAAACTATACAATAAATTATTGGTTTGTTGGACATTTCCTTCCAGGAAGAAGTTTGGCTAGAGGGTAGATACAAAAAATTTGATCTGAGGGGCACATGGCTGGCTTGGTCAGTAGAGCATGCAACTCATGATCTCAGGGTTGTGAGCTCGAGCCCCACAGTTGGGTATAGAGATTACTTAAAACTAAAATATTACAAAAAATTTTTTATCCGAAATCACCAACTTCACTCTTTGAAAATGAAGGCAAAAAATTAGTACCTTATAGGAATCTGTGCGCTTCAATAAGTAAACACATAGGCTTACCTTGATAAAATATTCAGTATTTAATTTTTAAATAAAATAGCTCACCTATTTCATTGTATTTTCTGTAATACTCAACTTCTGTAGTTCTAATGCATAACATCATACTTTTTTCTCACATAACTGCAGAGAAGGAAGATTTATAATTTTGCAAGCCAACTTACACACAGATGCTAATTTACCAGCTTTAAAATGTAAATGCTAAAAATGCCATAAATCTAACACTCATCTTTACTAAATTCTCGGCCTTTTTAAAATGGCTGGTACATTACCTGGGCATTGGATTACTGAACAATAGAAGGTGGAGAAAATACCCCTCTACACCTTTCTGAAAAGACAAGAAATCATTCTGCTTGCTTCTGTTATTAAGCCTCGGTTCAGGCGTCTGACCGTGGAGGAAGCAGAGAGAGCTACTGAGAATGGCAGAAGAGATCTGGCCTCATCATGGGGACTCAGGCCTGATCCTCAGTTTTTCCCTCTCCTCCAGATCACTCATTTCAGTTCACCTCCAATTCACAGACCAAATAGGAGATGCTTTCTTCGTGATTTAGCCCACGGCCCTTTTCCGATCTATTTCTGAAAACTTGCCCTAATGTCTGTGTTTATTTACAGGTCACTCCTGCTCTTTGGGCTCAGCCTCTCGCCTTCACTCTCGGCCTGCTGCGCAGAAAACTGTCACACACGAACGCACACACTAGCCAGCAGTAATATAGCTGTCCGCTGCTGTGGAACGTGGAGACTCAGAAGTTTAGGGGGGGAGGAGGCACCACTCCGTTATCCCAAATGAAACCCTACTTTAAAAGCCTGAAACCTGCTCTTGGCTGTCCATTCCATTGCTGAGAAACACAGGAAATACTTGCCTTCGGCGCTTCCCCAACCTTCCCCGAACAGCCGTCCGTGAGGCCCCAAATCCCTCCAGCCTTGGGTCCTCCACCCTGCTTCCCAACCGAAAGGCCTCCTCGTTCCCTCAACCTGGTGGCAGTTCACCATCCGGGCATCCTCCTCCTACCTGAAGGACCCCCCAACCCAAAGCCAAGGGACATAATACTGTGGATCGGGGCAGCTAACCGTGGCCAGCGGAGGAACGTCACTGCCTTCCTCCCGGGTCCCGGCCCTCAGCTACTTTTACCCAGAAGCAGTGTGGGTGGGTGGGGTTGTTAGCTTCGTGGGTGGCGTTCTGACTCTCTGGACCCCAGTCAGGAAGGCTAGAAGGCTGGCCAGAAGGGCATAAAACGTCCGGGCGCTCAGTAGCCATTCCCGGCTTCGAAGCGCCTCCCCGGGGCCCAAGGCCCAGTTACGCAGCCTCCCACAGCCACTCTGAGTCCCCGGAGTCACCGACCGGCGACACTCCTCGCCTGAGTCCCTCCGTGCGACCTGTCCCGGGTCAGTTGATCAGTGTGATTCCGCACGGCCATCATCACCATCCAGGCCCTGGCCTGGGGAGGTGCAAACAAGGGCTGGAGAATATATACGCTGGGGCAGGGATTAAAAACGTTCAAGTTCTCACACACACACACACACACACACACACACACACACACAAAATCAAAAAGCACTTCGAATATCCCTCTCCGCTTTCCCCGCAAATCTTAACTTTGTTTTAAAGAAGCTGTTAAGCCAAAGCAAAAAGTTAAGCGGGCTTTGGCCAGTTTGGGGAGGAGGGAGTGATCAACGTCTCCTTTCCCAGGCAAACAAGCGCGGAGGAGCTCTGGGTTTCTCAAACGGTGGGAAAGAGCAAGGAGAAGACAGAAAACGCAGTACCTGGCGGGACTTGAGCTTCCTGGAGGGCCGGCGCACGCTCCCCTGAGCGCCCCGGGAGCTTTGGCAGCGGCGGTGCCTCTCGCGGCCACTGTGCCGGCCGCCTCCGAGTCCCCCACCTCCCGGCGCTAGTCCCCTCGCCCCTGCGCTCCAGCTCCCGAGCGCTGACTGGCCTGTGGGAGTCACGTGCAAGGGCGGGGGGCGGGGGTGCGCCGCAGAGGCTGCACCTCCGCTAGGCGCCGGGCTTCGGGGCTGTTCAAAAAACTCCCCCAGCAGGCAAAGTCCAGGCGCTCGGATCTCGGAAAATGCTAAAGTGCCACCGATCGGGGCGCAGGGCTTCACCCACCGCCCTGCCAGAGGTCAATCCGGTTTGCAGTTTTGCCCAGGGTCAGCTTTATTCAGGAGTCCCCTCTCCTACCTCCTCCCTCCACCCCACCCCCCATCCCGCCTCCCGGTGGTCCTGGTCCAGCCCCATCCCAGGACTCGCGAGTCAAGGGGCGGCGCTGATAGACGGGAAGGTGACCTTTTTGGGCGAGACCCCTGACCGGCTGTGGAGCACAGGGTTACCAGGGGTGCCCGGCTAGCTGCGAGTCTCCAGGAGGTAGTGGATAGTGGGGTTCCTGCTAGTCCCGAAGTGCCGGTGGAAAAGACACCAAACCTGGGACTGGCCCACTCAAGTCAGAGCGCAGAGACCGAAGTTTCCCTTCCGCCTTCCCAGCAGCCTGGGGAGTCCGCAAGGCGGCCCTCCAGACCTCAGTTTTATGTATTTATGCAAAACGTG